ATGCAACAAAACGAATGAGCCAAAGCTCGGTAAGTAGGATGATGCATGTGATATGCAATGCTACTAGACTTCCTCATTTTTTTTATCACATTTTAATTTCAAGTACCACGGGTATTAGCAAGTCCGTTTTATTCTCAATGATCGTCGAATAGCCTCAGCAATCACCTATTGCTGAATAACCTCGGCATTCATTCACTACCGAATAACCTCGGCATTCATTTACTTTCATTCCTCGATGGTTGTCGAATAACCTCGAGCAATCACCTACTACTAACAACGAGATTATCCCTCGTTGTAGCCTTGGTGGCAAAATTATCCATAATAATCATGGACATTTAATTCGGTTCGATTACCAAACCTCATCTATCACAATTTAATCATTTTCCTTATTTCAACCATCGCCGAATGCCTATGATGCACGTGATGCTCATTCATTACATTCAATCAATCATGGATACTATACCTTACACTTTCATTCCGCCAATCCACATAGGATTTCATAATCCAACACACACAGGGTTTTGGGCATACTCTAACAAATGGTATTGGTTGAGTCATGAGTTTAATTATATATGCAAATACTTCCCTTTTCTTTTCTATAGTAACATAAATCGTTAAGTCATTGTATTTTTGAATTACATAATTATTTGTATTTACATCAAATTTCAAATATGTTAAGGTATACTTTTCTACCTTTATTTTCTATCTATTTAAGCTTAATTAACCATTTATTATGTTATCTTGGTGAAAGAAATGGAAACCGAGCAAGTATGGAATAAAAAGGGTGACTTTTAAGTGATCGGTGAATTACACGGGCGAGGACACACCCGTGTGAGAGGCCGTGTAACTCGACTCGAAGAAAACACATTTTTTCACTACATGGGCAAAGACACGTCCATGTGAAAGGCCGTGTAACTCTCCGTCATGAAGAAAAACACATTGCTTCATTACACGAGCAATGACAAACCCGTGTGAGAGGCCATGTAACTCTCTAACTTGAAGAAAAACACATTTTGTCATTACACGGGAAAAGAAACACACGTGTGGGGGCCGTGTAACTCTCTAACTTCAAGAAAAACACATTTCTTCATTAGACGAGCAAGGGCACGCCGTGTGGGAGGCCGTGTAACTCTCCGACTTTAAGAAAAACACATTTCTTCATTACACGAGCAAGGACACACCCGTGTGGAAGGCCGTGTAACTCTCTCGCCCAAAATTTTATTCATGAAAACCCTAAAATTTCATTTTTCTTTCATTCCTACTTCATGTTTATTCAAGTCCATACAAGTCCCACTTTCACCCACCATGTTTAGGTCAACCAAATCCATTAGCTACACTCATCCATATATGGATTTAACTAAATACGAACTTCCCACACTTAACAAATAATCACACAACTAATCATCACAATCAAACCATAGCAACTACCAATCATGGAACAACCTAACCAACATAATCAAGCCAACAAACATCACATCATAAAACATAAGCTTAACCATTGACAAAAACATCAATTGCATGGCATAAAGCAATAAAGAAAACCCACTTACAATACAACAAATAATACAACCAACACACATCTTAAACAGCCTTAAAAGAGAACTAAAGGCATGAAAATAAACCTACTTACCTAGATTAGGACTTTTCCTTAGCTTTTCCCCTTTTTCTTTCCTTCCTTTCCTTTCTTTTCCTTTCCCCCTTTCCTTGTTGTGACTTTCTCTCCCTTTTTTTACAATTGGTTTCTCTTTTTCTTTCTTTCCTTTGAGTGAGCTACAATTTGGCTAAAGAAAATGATCAAATTTCATCCTTTCCATATATATATATATACACACTCCCTTTTTCCTTGCATTCAATAGCTATACATGTGGCTTGAATTAATTAGGCAAGGTGGAAAGCAAGTGGTGAGTCATGGGGAAGAGTCAGGTTGGTTTGGCTAGTAATTTTGGATGAGTTGGCCATGAATTCATTTAATGCATGGCTTAGGTGTCTAACTACATACTTAAGCTAACTAAACCTCCTAACTAACTTGGTTAAAGTAACTAAACATATTTGTCTTCCATTAAAGTTTGGAAGTTCTCCCTCTAAAATCCGAAAATTCCTTTCCCCAAAATATTCTAGCAGAGTGATGCCTCGGGATCGACTTGTACAAAAATGGTCATAACTCTTTCTATATTTATCTAAAAATCATGAAATTTTATAGAGAGCTAGTAGACACTAGAAAAACAAAGTTTATGCTTTAATTTTTATCCAAAAAGAACTCTAAAGTCCTCCAATAAATCACCTAAAAGTTCGGATAGAATTTAGTCCTTAAAACACTAATTTTGCATATTTGATTTCTTTAATAGTTAAACCATTGATCTCAAGCACAATAAATTTAATTTAACATAAATCACACTTTTCAAGCATTAGTTTCTCATGGTGTAATGAGAATGATATATGTAGAGAGATAAATATGCTACAATGTGTCATTTTATGGTTTAATATTTTTACGGGTGTTACAAAGAGTACCAAACTTTTAACTTTCCTTTACAATTAGTACTTTAGTTTTAGTAATGTAGATATTTGTATAATATTCATACCTAGTTATGATTTGGTCATATAGAAAAAGGTCAAAGAAAAGGGGGCCTCTCTCCCTCCCTCCCTCATAGGATGCATGATAGATGAGACTTTTTCTAATGATTACTTAGGATGAGGGTATAGTTCGCTCTAGGGTGATCAAACACATTTGGTTGATATGTTCAATTCAATCAATGGTTATATTGCGGTAGGGTTACTATAAGGAACTTTACCACGTAATTAGGCATGCCCATACCAACCAAAGGCATAGTAATCCTTTCCCTCTCGTGCCTTTTCATTCATGTCTACTTATCCTTATCTTTGGCCTATGTAAATTGTTCATTGAGATGTATGTGAATCTTTTCATTAGATCAGACATGAATGAAAAGGCAAGAGAAGGAAAGGATCATTGTGTGACCTAGCTAATGGATGATAAGTAAAAATATTTTTTTTAATGGTGAAAAGCAAAAAGCCTTAATTTTTGTTTTGTTTTTTTTTTTTTTTTTTTGAGAAAAGATACTTGATTTAGTTTAACTTTTGTTCTTCCTTAATCTTTACTTTATCGGTATCAATTTTTCTTTTCTCGATCAAAATTTCCCTAATTTGCCTAACTTAAACTCTCTATCTTTCCCTCTATGTGGAACCATATGTGACCAACCAATCACCTCTATTTGAGAGGGATATTACCTATACACTCCTGCACATGGATGGATTCAGTCCTTATGGGTAAAATATTTTTTCCCTATTTAATGCAAGGAGTTTAATAATTTAAACCAAAAGATTAGGTCTAACATAATCCCAATATAATATGGAAAGGGGACCATCTAATGTACTCCTTATTTCCAAAATAATGAGGCAAACTATAAACCGATAGGGGATCAATATTAAGTCATCCAACAATTATGAAAATTTGATATTGGCCCACTTTTTATGATACATTATCCAATTAAGCTCTCATGTATCTCCCATGATATATTATGCCTAATTGATATTTTAAGTGTTCCAATGCACCCCTCATTGGCCATATGGTGAACAAATCACTCTCTCTCCTATCTCCATATTAAGATAGGGGGATAAATTTGATATACTTGAGTGGCCTGGATAGGGGTGAATATTAATAGAGATGAGTTAAATATATGGAGTTATGAATAACTATATTGGTATTCCCACACTTTACCATGAAGGGGACATTTATCAAAGGACCCTTAAATAACTTGAGCTATTATACTTACAATCTATTAATCCAATTATTCTTGTATCATTATCTAATTAGATTATTAGGGAATATACTAAGTTTACCTGTATTATCAATATAATTACGGTCCCAATGTGAAATAGACTAGCCAATAGCTATGTTAGTACCTCTATAATTGGATTTATAGACTGGATTGGCCTATAATTTATGCATAGGAGTCTAATTTAAGAGGATTTTTTGTTATGTACTAATCGTCAAGAGGGAGTATAATGTCATTAGGCTGTGGAACATAGCTATTGGCTAGTGTCCCTTTGAGGATATCGTCAAATATGATTGTGGATTATTTAGCTTAATGGTAGATTCAATTAGTGAAAATATAATAAAACCAAGGATAGTGAGAGTTGAATCTTTCATTAGGACTAATGATACGTATATTAATAGACTATTAAGTACCATACCACTATGGTTAGATATTAATTTGAAGGTGGGAATAATATCAAGCCAGTTCCTATCTATTTTCTTGATTATAATTGGTTATCATAATCCTTGAAATATTATGTGAGTCCTCCTCATCAACGACATTACTTGCTGGAGTTACCAAAGTTCGGTCAGAACAATATGTGATAAAACTTGATTATAAACATACTCGCAGAGATATTTTGTAGTGTACTAATTATTGGATGTCCTCGTGACATAAGGATCATGCCGACTGGGTAAATATTAACTCGTTATAAGTGCTATATGAGTAAATTTGCTAATATAATCTCTTATAGGTCTATATCTGAAATAGTGATTGATTCCAATTTAGCCATCTCCGAGGTCTCATCCTACCATTCAATTATATTCATAGGCCTTTTAGTAAATAATTTGACCAAGTTAATATAGTATACCTATATAATCATCTATCTTAGCAATTACTTGATGACAAAATACGAAATCTGATCCTTTTTAAATTAGATCTAATTAAGTTAATATAAGGCATATCGGGTATCGGGTTTTTATACCGATACCATGTTAAGGTTTATGGTAACAATTCTATAAATTCATGACCCGGAGATTACCATCTCCTATTTCGTTATACCCTATTTATACCAACATTAAGTAAAAATATAGGGATAATAATTCCCTTAGAGTATGTGGGAGTTGTCGTAACATTAGATTACGAGCATAATGAATTAGTGACTGATATAATGTGCATTAATACCCTATTAACATAATATTAACATTTTGAGAGGTTCCCCAAAAAAACATTGGTGGATGAGTCAACTTTAATAATATCATAGACATCGCCATAAAGAGATAGGCTATCCCTCTAGGAAAGACTATAATATATTCCTATATAGTGCACTTCTCCCTCTATCTTTTATAGTTTTGGAAAGGGTTAGGACAATAATCTCTGGTAAGTCTGGTAAGTCTAAGGTTTATTTGTTAATAATCTTTATATTAAGGGAATTATAACCATTCGACCAATCTATTTGATATGGTTTAGACCTCCTATCATGTCAATGTCAAGTTTAAATCACCTCTTTCCCCCCTCTCTCCCCATCACCTAAAGAGATACTTTATGCCCATGTTTATTTCTTTATAGTCCAAAAGGGCATATCTCAATTAACTTTAATTAGATATATTGTGATTCTCAATAACCTAATATTTACTCCGTTTACTAGCATGGGCCTCCATTAATAATTTCCTAATTTAACATATATCACTCTTGTACTAATTGGTAATATTGATAATACTTGATGGCAATATTATCTATCAAGGAATGTGCCATCAAGTGGTTATTATATATCCTCTAGGATAAAAGAGTTTAATTTAATAATTACATAGGGATATGATATTATTAATATAGATAATAGGGTCACATTCTAATTGAGTAGGCTCCGAAAATGATAAGTCCCATATACACTAGTTAGTAAATTATAATACTTGTTTATCCACGATAAAAAATAGCAATCATTGGTCCCCCTACCAATATTTCCCATATAGTTAACATCGCTAAATAACAATTATATCATAACTTAAAGTATTCCATATAAAATGATCATTATAATGATCGAGGCCTAATTGAAATTAGCTAATAAGGTAATACTATATGGGAACAAACATATAGAGATCAATATTAGGATAGAAGGGACACTCATGGTAATATATAAAGAGGTTAATATCCCTGTTTCCATAGTTAAGGCTATATAATAATCATATTATGTTGCATAATGTTCATGTTGTAGGTTTATGAATCAAGCTTATAATTGGTCACACTATTTACCAATCTTTATAAATCCCCGAATACTATTATAGCTTATTGTACCTAAAGGCATAGCCATACATTTTACTTTTAAGACCCTAGTTTAGGTGTTTGAGCATACCTTAAATATAGTATCAAATTCTCCAAATTTGATGTCATTAAAAATAAGATGACATAATAGAAATTAATACATTTATTTGAGAGAACAATAATAAACATGAGTTTAACTAATATTTATAACAATAAGTGTCATCTTATTAAATGCACTATCCAATAAGGGATACCTCTTTGATAATTTACTAAAATAGGTTATTCATCGGTTTATATAGCCAAACTGACTCTTTTATAATTGATAATAACCAAACGTTCATATTTATAGTTATCAACATGTAATTTAACTATTATTCATAATATTAGGTGATCTATACTGATTCCAATATGGACTTAAACTAGATTAGTATTAGATTAGGATTTCCAACGAAGCATTTATAGCCTAAATAGACCCAAATATTCTCTCTATGCGATAGTAATATCCCCACCTAAAGCATGTTCTCAAATAATATATTTTGAGGCCCAAACTAATTGTGCACTAATTTTGAACCTTCTCTCTATATAATTTTTTGATATAGGGGAGAGAGATGGGTCCAACAAGATGATAGTATGGTAATATAACTCACTTGGAAGTCTTAATCACATATATCCCTAGTATATATAGCTATCAGATTACCAAACTATAGTAATATAATTTAGCCCTACCCTATATCCATGTTCTATTATTAGGATGTTCTACAAATAACATCTTATTACTAGGGATATATAACAGAGGATATGTCCTAAGATGAGGGATATTAATATAGCCTTTTCCCACTAATAAAAGGACTTAATGATATAAAAACATTTTGAAGCGATCTATATGGAATTATGTTACCATAATGGAGGTATTTCTAAGTATTATGAGAGCTAGACTATCATTAGAAACATATTAGAAATATATTACCTAATCACAAATACACTCCATCTTCCTCTATGATAAAGTTACTATGATTTTAGAGGCCTAATATTAGAGATACCCCCAAAAAGGATCTATATTGCCCCTTTATATCCCTAATAAACTCGTAATCAATATGTTAGTGGTAACCCCGATGAGATCAACTAAGATATTTATGAAGATATTCCTCTCTCACTCTCCATCAATTAGTGAATCTCCCATATTTTAGGGATACAGAAATCATTCCCTTATAAAAAGGGAATAATTTTTTGATGCCAAACGAGCTACAATGGGAGATTCATCCCATAAGCCTACAGGATAATTTTATATTAAATATATAATATTATTCTAATATTTATCTAAATAATATTTACCATCAAATCACTCTCCTAAAACTCTAATTGATAATAATATTATATGCTGATTTTAATATCCCCAAAGGGATAAAAGATAATACATATTATGGGGGTGGAATTAACTAATAGAGGGGATTAACCATTCTCTATATCATTACTTCCATATACGATATTTAACCATTTGAAGCTTGGGATAGAGAGAGAGGGAGGAGGAGAGAGGAAAGGGCCAATGATTATATCATACTATTATGAAATGGAGAACCATCTATTGTTAAAGATTATTAAAGAACATGTGGTGAGTACAGTGAAGTAACCATCATATTGAAACGATCAAAATATTGTTCAACCAAATAAGTTCCTTGATAGCTACGTTCCCATATTACTACCCTCTCCTTCCCTCTCTTGGATAACTTCCGGTGGAGAGAGGGAGGGAAATTTGTTCCACTACCACCTTGATAAAGAAAATATCATGGTAGATGCCTTAAGTCGAAAAACATTAATAGTGATACATGTCTAAATTGTTAAGGACCTCAAAATCAACTTTTATAGTTTACATGAGGCCAAGGAAGATATATGCTAAAATATATCTAATTCCTATATTGTACATTATGAATGGTATTTATCCTAAGTTGTAGCCCAATTAATTGGTTATTTTGATCCTAAGGTGTATGAATGATATATTACCCATAGGGGGGCTATATTACTAACGATAGAACAAGGATTTATACTATAACCAATATTTTACGTAAATGATAATTTATGATTAAAAATCACATTACTAGGATTCCTATCTAATTCCAAGATATTAAGATAAAATGATGTTCATTAGGTTAATTATAGCCATCTCCCTCCATCCCTATATAAGTAGGTTGTTATATTTCTAGTAATAAAAATAATTATTGTATTTAGCCATGATTGTTTGTTTGTCCCTCTCTCTCACCCCTCTCCCTCTCCCTATGATAGGGTCCCTTGATTTTTTGTCATCTCTGCCTTTGATGCCTAAAAGGGAATTATGTTAACCCCTCCCTGCTCGTTTCTATAATATTAGTTGATTTATGGAGGTATCATGGTCTGATATTTTAAAGATGGGCGAAATTGATGCATTACCTAATAAAAGTAAGATGTACATGAGAGTACCAAGGAGAGGGAGAAGGATATTATTCAACCAGTAGATAATAGGAACTCTAATATTTTGTCCCTTAACCTCATTCCAAATAGGGCCAAGAAGACGATCTTGGTAAATGATCAAACAATAGCTTTAGGGACCTTATTTATCCCTCTCTCTAATACATGCTATTCGTGAGTAAATCCCCCTCTCTCGTTCTAAAAAGAAATGTTAATTCAATGAAGAGGGGTTTACTAACGAAGGAGATAACCATTATTATCGCTTCTATATCTATAGTGTTAATTAATTAGTCCTTATTATATATTCAATGTTTGGCCCTTTTCACCTTCTCTCTCCCCGCTCTTTCATCATTATAACTATTGGTGTACTCCATCACTTTCAATCTTCGAGCAATATGACTTAAAGAATAAAAAATGGAAAAAGAGACAAGCAAGTGGAAAAAGACATGATTTAAAGAAAAAAGTCACGTAGTCATGTGACTAGAAAAGGCTAGAAATTGGAAAAATAGAGAAAGGTAACATAGGCAGTACCCATATAAACAGTTTGTACAAGAAAATGGCATGCCCATAGAGAGAGAGAAAGAGAGGGAGAGAGAGAGGAGGAAGAAAAGGTGCCATAACTAAGGAGAATTAGATAGAAGTGAGGCTTTGATAATATATTAAGTCGATTAGTTTGTTACCTAGAATGAATGGAAACACATTCTTGGGAGGCCCTCACTTTAGGTTATTTCCTAAGCTTCCTCTCCCTAATAAGAGAGAAGAGAGGAAGCTTACGCCCTATTTATATGTGCATGTAAGATAGAGGGAGGGGAGAGGGAAAGGGAGGGAGGGCTAAAAAGGGCCCATAAAATTAACTTTTATTATTTTTTCAAATCATACGGACGAACGAGCTTTGGAATTCATGAAATGATATGACCACAAAAATGTCGAACCATTCACATGCTAGGTCTCTATCTCTTTCCCTCTCCCTCCCTCCTTCCCTCTTTCTCTCTATCCCTCTATCCATTGGTGGCATATGGATAGGGAGGTAAAGAGAGGATTCTCTCTCCTAATGGAAATATAGGGGCTTTGTGAGATATAGAGGGAGAGAGAGATGGTGGGAGAGGGAGATAGAGGGATAGAGATGGAGGGACATTTGAGATATTATCTTAAAGGGAGAGGATGAGTAGGAGTGTTTTAAGAGAGAAGGAACATCAAAGAAATGTCAATCTTATCCAAGTCCAAGATTGGGCCTCTCTCTCTCTATCTCTTTCTCTCTCCCTCTTTGTTTTTGATGAATAATCAAACTCTTTGATTGTTTTATGAAAATGATGAGTTTCATTCCTAGAAATGAAAGGAGAGAATGTGAATGGCAAAAGATGGAAATCATGTGGTGATTGGGAGAAAGAGGCTTAGGCCTATTCAGATTGAGTGAGGGAAGAGTTTTTATTAAGGGCGTCCTATCTAATGAATGAATGTCTTGGTTAATAAAGGTATCCATTCCAATGGGCTTCTAAATTCTCTCTCTAAGTCACTCTTTCTTGAGGTTTGGAAGAGAGTGATTTAGAAGGAGATCTCCCCCTATCTCTATCTATCTTATTGAGATTGGTAAATCAATCCTAGTAGCTCATCGAATAATTGTCTTGATAGAATTAAACTTTTTCCCTATAATCTCCTCTCTATTAAACACTCCCTTGATAAAGTAATCTTGACCATACTTCCAAAGGTTAATTGACATGGTCTAGGAAGAGAGAGTAAAGGGAGAGAAGGGGATAGAGGGTGAAAACCCTACCAATAGGATGTGTATGGACTAGTTTACCTTTCTTAACATGCTAAATAGATGAGGATAATTTTTTCTAAGAGTAGGTTTCCTATGCATCCTATTGGTAAACTCTCTTCTTCCTCTCAAATCGGTAGCCTTAAATGATGGTTAAATCACTTGGAGAAATATTCAAACGAGCAAAGAGGTAGCAGAACATGGTATGTTGGAGAAGGGATTACTATTTATTTGCAAGTTGGGTAGATTATGCTTTGCACCTAAGCTTATTTGATGTGAAACCTATCTATCTTTCTACGTAATTCCAAAGAGACTAGATAATATAATCTCCCTCCCCTATCTATCAGTCCCTCCAAATTATTTTAATCATTTATTTGGAATTAATCAATGAGTGATTTGTTAAATCCAAGAAGAGAGAATAACACGATCTCTATTAGAAAGGGGTCAAGTTAGTACTAATTAGGAGACATTATACTATTTATGTGTCAAAGTTATGACTCGGAGTTCTCATAATGTTTAATTCGATAGGGTGCTTGTAGGGGATTTATCATGTTACATTAGAGAGTGTGAATATTCTATCCAATTAATAGGGAGAGAGTGGGATTTTTCTCGAGCAAAATTGGTGACCATCCTAAGAAGGGCTGATAGAGAGAAGGGAACATGGTTTTGGGATACTACTAAATAGTAAAATGAAGGGGAGGCAAAAAATTTCCTCATTTAAATGATCAATTAGATAGAGAGAAAGGGAGGACATTGCATCCATAAATTCTCCCTCTCTACAACCAAGACATGTTTAGGACAACCAAGACATGTTTAGGATGAATGATCCTTCAAATATAAACTGTTTCCCTATTATCCAATTCATCAATAATGAAGTTCCTCCCTTTTCCCATCGGGCTCATCTATCATATAAATAGATAGAGAGGGACGAGTTGGTTAATTATTATTAATATACATAGCCTCCTTATCATATGCATTTGGAATTCAATCTTGGCTTAAATAAATTAATATTGATCAACGAGAGTGTCAATATATATTATTTCAGTATTGATAATTTACTTAAGTATCCCTCTCTCCTTATGATTAGGCCATTTATTATTATTATTACTCGCTATTATTATAATAATATAAAATAAATTGTCAATATATTTTAGATATTTTATTATCTTTTGAATACTATACATTGATAGTAATATATTATAATATCATTTATATGGTATGCAATAAATAATCAAATAAATTTATTAAATAGTTTATCCTCCTATTTCTATTGTGTGATTAAGGGAACGATATTCTCTATGGATATTTTCCTTGATGGATTATAGGGCCTATCATAACGTATACCCTAATTATATCTTTAGGTTCTCCCTATTTATGGAAGATATCAATGGTGAAAGGGAGAGAGAGGGAGAGGGAGAGAGAGAGAATTCCTTTCATATGATTGTGATCATCTTCAAATTATCTTAGAGAGAAGTAGATAATATTATAAGCCTGGACCATATAATTGGAGCTATTTTATATAACTATTATAATGATTAATATTTACTATTTAATTATCTAGTGGGGAGTTTTGGTAACATCTTATAAACCTATCGAAGATTAACGAAATGGTCGTATATTGAGAAAGATGAAGGAAGAAACCCTTGTGTCAGTTGAAACCACTAATACTCCCTTATGCTCCTATAAGTTACAAAATGAATATATTTTATGGCCCCGCATCTACCATGATAGTTGAATTCTCTTACCATTAATATTTAAGTACAATAATAAAGGGGTTCAATCTCTCTATTCAGTGTGATCTCTATTCTCTATAGTTTTACTAAGCTTTGAAAAAATAGTAAAAATCTCTCTAATAATTCAAGTTCTCTTACCACCATGGTGGTTATTGATACAGATGTGGATAATCAAACCTTTAACCATTGGCTATCCCTCTCTCTCTTTCATATAACTAAGCTATAAAGGGGGAAAGGTAGCATCAACCTATAGTTCCCTTTTACTCGGTTACCATGCTCATTAAATTACATTAATGATTTGTTTGATTTGTGAGGGAGAAATAAACAAGCTCGAGCTCGCTTTTTAGTTTTCTCAAATTCATGATATATCCAAAAGAGAATTCATGCTAATAAGAACTAGGAGAGCGGATATCCCTCTTATTTACCTTACTCTCTCTACTCTCCCTTTTCCTCTCCCTCTCTCCCTTTCTCTTCCTCCCCTTCTCCTTCTAAGCTATAAAATAATTATTTTGTCAAAGCACTCGCCTATGATAGAAGTTTAGAATAAACCTTTCCTCTATTTATTATGTTGCCCAAAACAGATTTTTATAAGAAAAATTACACAAAAAAGAAGAGCTAGCACCTTCCTAGTTTTATGGAATTATATATTATGAGCCCAAACCAAGCCTAAACCAAGGAGAATATATAGGGATGAGCCCATATTAACCTACGTTGTTCTCAAAATACTTTTATTTTCTCTCTATAAAACACTTCCATCAATTCCTCAATTCTATTTCCAATGAATCTAGTTTCTAGTGATAAGGAACCGATACCAATTGAATCTAATGGAGGTTGAGCTACCTATTATTGCTCCTTAGAAGGGTGTGTTGTACGAATTCTAGCTAAATAGAGTGAGGTTTTTGTTGGGAATAGAGAGGGAGAGATATATAGAGACCAAGGTTACCATATATGAAGAAGCGAGAGAAAAGAGTAAGTGAGGGAGAAAGAAGGGGAGAGAGAGAGGGAGAAAAGAAAAGAGAGTTGGAGAGAGAGGAAAGGGAAGGAAGGGGAGAGAGAGAGATAGATAGGAGAGAGGGAGAGAGGGTAAGGGAGTAGGAAGAGAGGGAAATAAACAAAAAGAGAGAGAGAGATAAAGAGGGAGAGGTAGAGGGAGAGAAAGTTTAGGCCCTATTTATATGTGCATGTAGGGGATAGAAGGAGGATGACTTCCAAATAGTAGTTTGATTAGTCCATATTCCCTCCCTCTATGATAAATATTAGTCGATACATGCCTCTAAACGATAGAGAGGGAATTGGCATGTTATATCTTTATCCTCGCAAACACTTTTAGAAGTTATCCTCCCCTGGACCAACTTATTTGGTCCCTATTATTTTCAATGCCCATTTTGAAATAAGGACCAAAATTAGGAAGATAGAGGAACGGATCACTCCCGAGGGATAATAGGGCATTTAATCTAAATCGAGGAGGAATACCTTAGACAATGGAACATAAATAAAACATGATTATTTGGTTGATGAATTCTTACATAGAGGGAGAGAGGCCTCACTTGAATAATAAGATAGAGAGGGATAATCTTCTATAGGAGTTATTTAGCTCACTATAACATTGATCTATTTACATAGGGACTCATAATCATTCCAAATGACAGGGAGTGATCATTAATATTTATCATAGCTTTATGTAGTTAGCTACAAGGGGGAGCAAGCATTGCTAAGTAATCATAGGTAGAAAAATTAGGTAGAGATTTAAGTTCCTCTCAAAAGATTGAGAACAAGGTCCATTTAAAGACAATTCTATATGGGCGGTTTGGGATTACATCTAATGATAGGGTCAACACCTTTGCATACTCCATAGTAACTTTAGTAAAAATGAGGGACATGATCACTTGTTTGTTTACCTTGACTTCTCCACACTTATTTACCCATTGCAATGTATATAGTCTAAGAAGAGAGAGAGGGAGGGAGGGAGAAAGGGAGAGGGATTAAGAGTGAGATGGATAGAGAGGGAGAGAGTGAAAGAGAGGGGGAAAGGAAGAGAGAGGAGGAGAGATAGGGAGAGAGTGGTAGAGAGAAATGGGTAGGGAGATAGAGGAAGAGAGATAGGGAGGGGGAGAGGGAGAGGGAAAGTTTTTTATTAATGAGGGTATATACAAGGCACTCATTTACCTATCTATATCTCCCCTCGCTCCCTATCATCTCTCCCTTATTGTACCCTCATCATTTTATCCATGTTGCCTCTATGTTTTCCCCTAATAAATCAATCAATTAAGAGATACTCATGAGGGAGAGAGATAGACGGAGAGAAGAGGATATTTTCCCCTAGGACTCGGGATGTTACTATTCAAGGCAAGGATAAGATATGGGTCAAATACTTAATTATTGTTAAATCTATGGTAAACACCTTGATTGATTGATTTGGGTGATGGGGTCAATATTCTATTATAAAGTACGTTTCCCCCTCTATATTCATGCATATGACTTCTATAAAATAATAGAACCAAGGTTTAACTTAAATGAAACATAAAATGGATAAAGAGGGAGAGCGCACTTATTAGTATGTTTATGTAATAATGAGGGGGAGAGAGGGAGAAAGGACTATCTCTTACCATCCTTATTTGTGGCCTAGTAAAATATTATGATTCTAGAGCTATTGATTACTTTATCAAGGTAGTGTTTGATAGCCAAGTGAGGGAGAGATGGTGGGAGAGGGAGAAAGAGAGGAGGAGATAGAGTAGGAAAGATGAGGTGTTTAGTTAGGCATCTATCATCCTCCCTCTCCCCAATTGCTTTTATTATAACAATAAGGGAGTGAAAGGGGTCACACAAGTTTTCTTTGATTCCCAAAAGTCTTAGACCTTAGAGTAAATGAACTATGCTCTATTGGTGTACTCCTACTATGGCCATTTATAAGTATTTGATAAATGAGAATATCCATCTCTCCCACTCTCTACCAATAGGGAAAAGGAGATCACTCTATCTCTCTATAAAGAGGAATCACTCGATAACATATTTTATCTTTGGCATGTACAAGACTTTCCCCTATCACTCTCTCTCCCTCACTCTCCTTATTCCTTTTCCCTCCGGTCAGACCATTTTGAGCATAAAAAGGTGTTGCTATGGAAAGTGATATCCGATGAACTTGTGTGTTATGTTATAGAAAGTGAATTGTCAACTTGTAGGAATACCTTATCATAGTAAAAAATAGACTTATTTATTTAACAAATAAGGGACACGAGTTACTACTTATTACTTTTGTTTTATATACCACAGTTGAATAATGCAAGCATAGTAATGGAGGGTCCCTAAGATGGGTATTAAGAACAGTGTCACATGCTAGGGTTTTAGGCCCTCAAAATTTAAAATAACATACTAAATGGTTTCACCCATTAATAGAGATGGGAGAGAGGGGGATAAAAATAATCAGGAGAATTCTTGGTAACCATCAATGTCCCCCTCTCCATTCAAATAGAACTCTATTATCTAAGATAGAGAGCACCCATCATCTTCGAATAGAGAAGAGAAAACCTAGGGGATTTTACTTACAAGCTAGGATTCCTTATTAAACTATAGTCTACACTTAATAGTTTTGTAAATCATTATCTATCATCCTCATAAGCATGGATTTAATTATCTCCCTTGTCAATAAGCTGATTACCCTCATTTATATAAATTATACTTATAATTTTGATTTTATTTAAATATTTTATTATAATATAATATATTTAAAAAATAGGTAAAAATTATAATATTATAAACTATGTTATTTTAAGACCACTTATTTGAATAATGCTTAAATAGGGATTTACTAGAGAGAGTATGTCAAATTGCATCATGAATTTTTGGAGGTCACTAGTTCATGTGATTATCATTGGGAGTGACATAAAATGAGGAGCGAGTTGGGCACTCTTTCATGATACTAATGAGAATAAAAAAAATTCAAGGCTGTATTGATGGAAACCAAGGAGCCAAACGGACTAGCAAGGTGGCATCTTCAAGGAAGGCCAAAGATGATGAGTTTGCAAGTCCAAGATTTTATCCATTACAAATTAAAGATGATCTAATGATAAGAGCTATGGCTAAGCTTAAAGAAGCTCTCCATGGCCTCGATTCAAGAGTGTTGGGTAGAATGCACTTCCAAGGGGCCAAGGGAAGATTGTGGCATCATCTTAAGAGAAGAGGGGAATCCAAGATTTGTCAATCTAATCCAAGTCCATGATTGGCCTCCTTAAATCATGTTGGGCCTATTTTGTTTTATGTAGCTTAATTAAAATTAAAACTAATTAATTAAGTCAGACTTGGGCTCAATGTTTCAAGCCCTATTATTTGTGTTGTCTTTTAAGTCCATTAGGGTTTGTTTATGTTCTCCTTAGGTGGCTAGGACATATAGAGTCATTTAAGGGTTAGGAGTGGCGTGTTAGCCTATTTGAAGGCTGGTTTAGTTCTATTTCAAATAAACAAAATAATTTTGAGAGTTAATAAATTTGAGAGGATTTTCTTCCTAAATCTGACTTATCAAGGATTGCAACCCTTGTGGCCTCTCTAAACTTATCATCCTCTATAGGGTGTGGCGTTCTTCACTCTATTACAATATAGCTTCGGTTCTTGCCTCCTTATTGGCAACAGTCGGGTTTCGCTTACTATAACTTGATTAGGCACGTTCCTTGGGTTGTTTAGTGACAAAGGTGTTTGGTTCTCTCATCTTTATATGTGAAGTTCACATCAACTACTCTTAAAGATATCCAGGATAACCTTTCAATTGCTAGTGATTTTTAATCACTAGTTAATAATATTAAGCAACTAATTATCTCTATTATGATATAGATTAATTGTTATAATTGCTGATTAACCTTAGATAATAGTATTCATTATAATTGGCTACTATAAGAGGATATGACTAAAATAGTATAACATTATCGGGGGTATAAGCTATAAGGTTTATCTAGGTTTATGATAATATACATCCCTTATAATTAGCCACTAGAGGCTAGTTTATATTCATATAGTCACTTTTCATAAATAATCATAAAGGTCATCTTACTCACATAAGGGAAAAAAAACTCCAATTACAATGGAGTGAAATAATATAAGGAGAGTATCATAATATTCCACTCATCATATTAGATACCCTTATCATCTAGGTAGATAACTAAATGTTAACTCTCCATAATATCAGCCTTCTTACTATTGTATATAGGTGATAACCTTTATAATTACATAAAATGTTATGCCTACCATTTAAGGTCATGGGGGTTTGCTGACCCATAATATCAGCCTCCTTAAATATTTTTTTTATCTATATTAGTATAAAAGTAATACTAAATTCATGAGGTTAGGAAATAAACTCCAAAGTGATATCAGCTCCTTGAGGTTATCTAATATTGGATATAGTTCACTTTTATTAGAATTAGGGGTATATCCTCATTCTAATAAATTTGGACCAGATAGAAATATAGAGTTCTTGTATTAGATGAATTTATACACGTGAATCATAGTCACTCTCTCTCAAATGCATTTGTTAAAGGAATATATCAAACACTCTCATGCACTCCAAAGAGATAACATTCCTCTCTTGCTAGATGAATATTCCTTATGAAGCTAGAAGAGAGGGGGTTGATAATCCCTATAGTGATTATAACCAAGATAATCCTTAATTATTTATTAATGTAAAGATATAATACTAGTTGTTTATACTATCCTTAAATTGTAAGTGAGTCAAGGGATGATATCAATTAAAATATATAGGTGTCGTAGCTTGATTATATCTATTGTGTTTCAATGTAATGGGGTTAATGATGCTCATTATTAATAGGTTGACCTCTTTTAAGGATATCGTTAATTATTATTAGAGATTACCAACAATCCTTCTAAAATAATTTACTCTTAGGGAGATGATAGTGCATTTATCAATGCCCGAGTAAATCATTAGTGTATGATAATGATTTACTCTTAGGGAAATTTTTCCCTATTATTTCCAAATAGACCTAAGGATGGCTAAAGTTTTTACCATGGGCTAGGTTCGTATATTAGAGTTGAGTGAATATTATTAAAATATACTTACATAGGATTGCTATATTGAATTCGCCGTGTGCTTTCGATCTACTTTCTTTTTTGTGCATAATTATCCCTTAGTATTAATAGCGGAAAAATTCTCACATATAAATTTAGGTAATTATTCAAAGGATGTTGTTAGGCCCATAGGCTAATATAAATCCCCGACTTTTATGTTGGTATTTAAATCATAGTTTTGATGAATGTCTCCCTTTTGGATATCCGATATTTCATTAACCTAGAGTGATATCGGTAAGAATGGATCCTAAATAGGGGATATCTATTTGTTTACACATATAATTTAGAATATCCTACGTTGAATATATGTCATAAAGGGAGAGGAACTTTTGTTATAAAGGGAGTTATCTTGAAAAGACCCCAAGGTAAAACCACTTTGATATTTATCTCTATAATATCAAACCAGGTAGTGATTCGTTAAAATTCAAGGATTATTTATCAAGCTGAATTCTATCAGTGTGATCTCTATCAAATAATCCTAACTCTATAAAATTGTCCGCTTAGAATTTTACCATCTATATTAGTAATATAATTAAATTGATCCCATATATAGAGTTGCAATCGTGATGTTAACGACCTATTATGATGGGGGCACTATATTAGGTGACTAACGAATTAGTTAATGTTTAGTATGGTAAGACCATTGACTTTAATCTAAAATCACTCGTTTAGAAATATAAGGCAACATTCAAATACCGAGTGATTATCTTCTTAGGCAGCCCTTATGTTGATTAGGTTTGATCCTTATAATATCCTCATATACGTCTATGTAGAATCTCTGGAAAAC